AGAATGGTTTTGAGAACTTAGTATAGTGCTTGAAACTTCACTGAAGGATAAAGGAAAACGCTGCCATGACACTTGATAATTCTGTTTCTCTTGCTTACATTGCATTCATATCATACTGCAGAAAAGAAACTTTCTTTTAACAATGTATGTCAGACTAGTATCAGATTGGATAAAGTGATCTGCTGTTCAACGAGCCATAAATACATTTAGAATTTAGACTTGGATAAATATAGTTCAGAAAAGCCCACAGTGATGACAGCACATCACCAACAAAGGCAGTTGCATCGCTCAGTGGTTGTTCTTAATGTTCTGTGCTTCTGGGAGACAAACACTTACAGACCAGGTAAGAAAGTCAGGTTTTCATAGCATTATTTTAATATAGTCTATATATCAGCAAATATAGGTTTGACATCGCTAAAATGTTTTGAAATTTCCAAAGCCAATCGCATCGCAGTTTAGGTTTGGAGTTAAGTTATAACATTGTGTTCAAAAGTCTTAACAAAAAGTGAAACAATTGATAATTTGGGAAGTGCAACATCTCATGTGTTATATATGACATACAACACAAACATATTTATAAGTACAACATGCTTATTTCAATTCTTGGATATTTAATTTGACATCAGTATGACGCTGCTATGGAAGATCTTATTGGGAATCTTTCTCATTGGACGACTCAGTCAAAGTCAAGACCTTCTAGAGGAGAATATAGAGCAGACAGTGTTGGATGAAGGGACTGAGGGAGGGGAGGACGTGGAAGAGCCTGAGGGTCTGGGAACAGATGTCAGTCAACCTGATCATAGACAGCCATGTGCCATGTGGATGGGAGGTGTTCCTGGCACACCTGGGCACAGTGGAAAACCTGGAAGAGATGGCAGAGATGGGCGTGATGGACCGAGGGGTGAGAAAGGAGATAAAGGTTAGAGTAAGCTCACTTTATACAGTTTGGAACTTTGCTAGATCATTTGTCTGAAACATACAGTGCTTCTGACTTCTGTAAGTGGCATCTGTGAACAAATAATTATAGACCCCCCCCCCCTTTTTTTTCAGAATGACATGAACTTTCCTTAGCGATTTTTGCAATTAATTTTAATTAAATTTTCAACATGTAATCAAAATTTCTCTCTTAATTTTCTTAATGTTACTGGTGTTGTTTTTGTGAATGATTCATGTTGCTCCACGTCTGAAACCACCTTTTATCTTGGTTTCAGGTCTTTACCAATGGCTTGTTAAACAAAGCTATTTAAACAAACTCTTAGTTTCAGAGTAGGTTTAGAGTTGAAAAACAAACAAATCCAACCCAATTTAGATGAGGCCTGTACCATGAAGCTAGTTGAACAAACTCAGGGTTACAGGACACACAAAACCAAAACCAATCCAATCAGGCTTTGTCGGTACCATTACACTAATCATCAGCTTTTCTTGTCAGCTCAGGCTTTGATCCTAGAAAATATCTGGAAACTCCCTACTACCACAACCAGCTTTGTGAAATAGGCCACAAGAGATAAGGGCAGTGTAAATAATGTTATCCAATAATCAAACATTAAACATAAATGTTTAAATAGTATTTTCACTTGACATCAGAGTGTTGATGTGCAGAACACATACAGGCAAGCTTTACCGACTGAAATAAATAAATTAATTAATTAACAAAGTAAAAATTTACTGAAAAGAAAATGTTTTTGGTTTTATCTAAATAAGAATTATTTATCTTATGCTGATGAAGCTTTTGTTTATGGTGAAATTAAGTTGTAAAAAGCCATTGATATAGGGTACACTGAAAAAATGGGGAAACCACACTTATTGACAAATGCACTCAATTATATGATTTGTAATCTATAAAACTAAACTGCTTATCTTTCAAAGTGGAACTTCAGTCAGTGTTGATGCTATGGGAATGCCTCCGGTGTTGCTGGTATCTGAAGCATGTGTGCAAATACGCCAGTTCAATTGGCTGATGGCAGTGACATGACAGAGCATGACGTAAGCAGTGTCATAAAAGGTCACATGTCATGGAATCCCCAGCATCTTTGTCTTCAGGAAGCCATTTGTCTGTGTGTGCATGTGAAAATCTTGACCTCTGTGTGTGTTTGTTTGGAATAGAAAGTGTCTGTTTCAAAGCAAAATGGAAAAGGAAGTTTAGAAGATGTCATGCCATGTGAAAATTACACCAGGTGACACACAGGATTTGTATCATCTGCCTAGGAGTGTAACACGCTCAGTCAGCTCTCAAGGGAGCTGGGTGTGCTCACAGTGAGGAAGTTCTTCTCCTGCCCAGCTCTCTTTCAGGGGGATGGGCAGTGACTTCATTAATAGATTCGAAAATGGAGCTGCCAAAGGAGCTTGAAGCAGGCTTGGCCTTTTCTCAGCCATCCCTCGCTAGCTCCACTGTTCTCATGCCTGATCTGGAAGCCCGCTCGGTGGCCTCTATGATCTGGCGAAGAGCATGCAATTGGCCCAATCTAGCTCTGAGGAGCTAGATGTTTTGGAAAAAGAGGCAGAAGTATCCAGTGAGCTCGCCTCCTCCCTTGACCCTACTTACAATAAGTTGGTGGAGATTATGACCCACACCTTGGCCAGGCTAAAGTTATACTGATTGGCGGAGAGAGGAATCAGCTCCCAGCAGGCTTGATGAGCTTCCTCACAAGCCATAAATGCTCCCCACGGTGAGCCATTTCTCCTCGATCCTTACCAGGAATTGGTGAGATTGTGGGAGAAACTGTACTCAGCCCGTGTTTTTGCCTCTTCTACATCCAGTTGCATTTTCATGAAAGGCACCCACCTTGCCCTCAAAGCCCTGTCAGACTACATCAAGGCTCATGGCCAAGGCTTACACAGTGGCCAACAGGCAGGTGGTGCCCTGCACACCATGCTGTTGTTGCAGTCCTATCAGGCCCAACTTTTGAAGGTCTTTGCCCTTTGTGCCACCAGGTAGGTAGGCCGGGCCACAGAGCAACATCTGTGGCTTATCGTTTTAGGGCTCTAAGAGAAAGAAAGATATTTGCTCCTTGATGCCCCAATCACACATTTTTGTCTTTTTGGCACCACCTTTGAGACTGTGGTCCAGAAGTTAAGGAAGGCGAAGGTTATGTCGGCGGCATTTAAGCTGCACATCCCTTGCCATGGTCAGGGTCCTTCAGTCCTCTCCTCTGACTCTGCTCATATAGTCCCAGCTGGAGACAGGGTCAGAAAACAAGCATTGCAGCCCAGACCCTGTCTCTGAGGAGTCGTGTTTGAGGTGGAAAACTTGTAAGAAGCCCATGAATGATCTTAGGGAAGTAAGACAACAAAAGCCAAAGCACTAGGATCCTTCCAGGCTTCTGATTCTGATCTTGTAAAAACCTATTTAATTGCATTGTACGACTGCTAAAGTATATAATGATTCTATTTTTTGCAGGTGAAGCAGGTGAGAAAGGAGATCCTGGACAGAAGGGAGACATTGGCCCTGCTGGACCAAGAGGCTTTCCTGGGAACCCAGGTCTGAAAGGGGCCCGGGGTGAAAGTGCTTTGTCTTACCATTCAGCCTTTAGCGTAGGTCTGATTGAGCTTGTTCCCACCACCAATGTGCCAATCCGCTTCAACAAGTTCTTCTACAATGACCAGCACCATTATGATGACGTTTCTGGAAAGTTCCGCTGTGTTCTGCCAGGAGTGTACTTCTTTACTTATCATCTCACCGTCTACACTAAAGATGCAAAAGTCAGTCTCTACATGAATGACAAGACCATCATGTTCACCTTTGACCAATACCAAGAGGCCAACGTGGATCAGGCATCAGGTTCTGTTATCTTGCGTTTGGAGGCAGGAGATGAGGTATGGCTGCAAGTCTATGGAGATGAGGCATTTGGGGGAGTGTATGCAGATAACACCAATGACTCTACCTTCTCCGGTTTCCTCCTGTATCCTGATATTCCTGAATCTGCACGGAGACGTTGACAATACCTAAATGAATTAATTTGGTTATTTTTTGCATTGGGAGATGTGATTCAGTTTTGCACCAAGCTATATTTATGAGGTTCAGCAAAGTATTGCATGTCATTTGAAATCCATTTTTATTGCTGTTTTACAGAGCTTCAGACATAATGAATCTGCTTTTGTTCTTGAATGCCTGTTTGAGAATAATAGTATAGTATGTTTCCTTCCCTATAATAACTAAGTGCTAGGGCTGCACGATTATGACAAAAATCATAATTGTCAATTATTCCCTTGAAATTGTAATTGCGATTATTAATTAAGATTATCACAATTTACATTGAATGATGTTTATACCATTGTTTGATGCAACTGCATGCCGTATTTTATATGAAAATAAACAAGCTGAAAACACTCTAACTGAAAAAACTTTTTGTGCTTTTCAATAGTATTAAGCCTCAAATGTCAACTATATGTTGGATTGGTTTCTTCTTTAAATTATGAAAAATTCATATTTCATAAAAATATGAATGGTATTATAATGTTATAATAAAACTAAAATGAAAACAATGGAAAAACCCTTAAGGTAACATGTAGAAAGAAAAAACGCATCTTAAGCACACAGAATAACATAAGTGGACTTTGAACGATTAATTGCCGCTTTGAACGATTATGTAATTGTGGCATCCATAATTGTAATCGCAATTAGAAAGTCGATTAATTGTGCAGCCCTACTAAGTGCCAAATGATTCAAAATTGTTGATGAGTTGCCAAGTTTAGAGGTATCCCCTATAAAATCAATCAAAATGTTACCAGACAAATGGAAAGGTTTTTTTTTTTTTTTGTATTTTACCACTAAGCATGCAGCTGCATCTTGGACAGTGATTTCAATTAATATATTGGCATTTCTATTCTGTTTTTCAACTTCATTTATTTATATTTTTTAAAACTTACTGTATCATGTTCAATACATGAATTTCTAAGGCCTCTATATTGTCAGCATGGTTATTTAGCCTATTTGCCTTTTGTCATCTGATTGATAGCTAAACGATTATAGGTAAGAGGCTTTTCATAATATATTTTTAAAAAAATCCTCCTTCAGGTCATGGAACATATCATTTTGCTGTGTGCTTCAGGCTTTTGAGAAATGGTTATTTGTATATCTCTCCACAGGAAGTCGTGGCCTAATGGTTAGAGAGTCGGACTCGTAACCCAAAGGTTGCGAGTTCGAGTCTCCGGTCCGGCAGGAATTGTAGGTGGGGGGAGTGAATGTACAGCGCTCTCTTCCACCTTCAATACCACGACTGAGGTGCCCTTGAGCAAGGCACCGAACCCCCAACTGCTCCCCGGGCGCCGCAGCATAAATGGCTGCCCACTGCTCCGGGTGTGTGTTCACGGTGTGTGTTTGTTCACTGCTGTGTGTGTGCACTTAGGATGGGTTAAATGCAGAGCACTAATTCCTAGTATGGGTAATCATACTTGGCCACATGTCACGTCACTTTCATTTTCACTTCTCTATCATCTATACGCATTGCATTTGATGTTTTGCCCCCCACAAAGACTACATACAGATACATACATGCAGATTATGCTTTAATGTTTGATATCAGATTATGCAAACTTTAAAATAAATTTGTCTTTAAAAAATATTTATTTATTTATTTATTTATCATTGACCAAAACAATGTTTAATTCTTCAATGTCATGTTTCATAACGTGCACGCAACGTGGATAAACTACAACAGGTAAATGTATCAGCGTAGTCTATGCTGTTTTCAGCTGATGCGTGAATTTCACTAAACAATATTTATAGGACCTGTCATCCAATGTCAATCACAATAAACTTTGTGCTTTGTTACTTTTAATTTGAAACAAAGTAGGCCCTATCAGTTTTCAAATTCTGTCAATTTTATCATGAAATAGAGGTGTGTGGAGCACAAACTAACGCAGGGTAAGTAACAACCATGGTTTAAAGATTTCCACACATGCTAACATAACAAAATTTACTGTATTTACTAGTTGCCATATCAACACTATCTAAAGAAAGAAATTGTGCCAAAATTGTTTCTTCCAGTTTCTGGATGAAGTAAATTTTTCATCCCAGTTTTTAGTGTTTATTTATCATGAGACAAATCTGCTATTATTTTAATCTCCAATTTGTTATTTAGCAGTTTAGGAAGTTACTGTATTTAATGCTTCGCTAACTAGCAAAAGACACTAACCAGTGTTAAATTCCAGTTGTGCAGATGGGGAACGTTGTAACACTGCATTACAATGTGCCCGCTATTATTAAACCTATGCTATACTATATAGATTACTTATGTAATTTACACTAAATACTTTTATGAATGTTAATGAGAATCCATGTTAAACAAGTGAATAAAGAATGATAGTCAATGTTCAATGTTCAGGAATTATTATTTCAAGAAATGTAAAGCAGTCTATTTGTTTTGTGTTCATTGTTAAATTTAAATGAATATATATATATATATATATATATATAGTATAGGGCCACAGCCCTACAGAGTTTAGCTTTAACCTCAATTAAATGCACCTAATACAGCTAATCAAGTCTTAGAAGTATTTAAAAACTACATAACCAAGGAGCAAGTGGTGGTGTGTAGGTGTTGTGTCTAGAAAGCATGTCAAAACTCCATGAAGCACAATCGGTGAGAACACACAATACATTTGACCAGTCTGTGGGAAGTAAATTAAGCCCTCAAATGAAAGCAAGAGCACCCTCCGCTGAAGCTGTAATAATAGCATATTGGCTAAACACATTTGGCAAACGCTCGAGTTCGTATTTATGTTTGCAGGACAGTGTCAAAGGGGTTTCTGTTTTCAACATTTTTGCAATGCTGAGCAATGTAGCCAATCACAGACATAATTCCACTGACATGTGGAGTGGCGTTCCAGAGACGTGACTGCAAGCCAAATGTGGGGCATGTCATGTTTTGGAGATCTTGTCATGGACCCAGGAAAAAACGGGGCTAACTTTTGAGGGGTGGCTTTCTGCTTGTGGCCCAACTACAAGTACCACTGTTGAGTGCTGCCCCTTTAAGAACGTTGTTTCAGTGGACCCATGATCGCTGAGAGAGAAGGCACAGTAGAGAGAGAGAGGGCTGACAGAGAAAGGCCATGTTGTTCTGCTGTAGCTTGTTGAATTTCTAATGATTTCACATGAAAGTATGATTTAAACTATATATTCCCAGCGTGGTTAGTAATGTTTCGTTGTTTAAGTAATCTGAGGTGACTGATATATTGCTATATAGATCGCTATTTGCGATTAGCCATTGCGCATAATATTATACGCTTTTGTTTGCTGTTTGTGTAGACATATGTTGTTTATTATGTTACTTGTTTAACTATTCGTGCGATATGTTGCATTTAGTTAGTAAACAAAGTTTAACGTAAGTCTGTGACACGAGAGATTGTTCCAGAAATTTGTATTGTATCACATGTGATAATACTTAATGCAAATGTGATATGTGAAACATTGCTAAATATTAATTGTGAACTGTTTTGTGTTTACAGTTTGACCACGCACGTATGCACATATAAATGTACAAGAATTCTAAACTACAAGTAAACAACAACAACTACCAAAATGTGTACGGTGTGAGTTCTGCACTAGTGGAATAAAGGACAAAATCAAGTTCCAAGTTAATGTTATCATTTCACGGGTAACATTAAAGTCAAACACGAGGAAGAAAGAAAATTAATAACAACATGGACCAAGAAACAGAAGAAAGTTCTACCCCAGATCAACAACAAAGGGGTCTCAAGTGTCAACGTGGAGGTGCAAAGGCTGCTGTGACACGCTTGATGACACAGATTACAACTGCTATGAACTGTAATCAGCCCAAAGAGGTAGAGATGAAACTTGCTGCTTTGGATAAGGCTGTTATGCGGTTTCATGAGATTCATGACATGTACCAGAAAACATTAGAAGATGATGATGACCTTGATGCTTATATGGGCTATTTAACGTCAGTCCTGCGGGATGTGCAAGACTTACAGCACACAGTCTTAAGCTGGCTTGAAGACTTTAAGCCATCAATGGAATCTTCTGATGCATCAAACTTCCAAGAGGAACAGCAAATGCTTGATGAAGCTGTTAAACTGCAAATGTCTCCTGTAGACCAACTATCTACCCAGTTTCAAGAGCTACAGAATCTAAGACAGAAAGAAAATAAAGAGTTCTCTATGCTTTTAGCATATCAAGAAGAACGTTTGCGTGCAGAGTTTAAACTACAACTTCAGCAAGCTGAGTTTGAAATGGATGGGCTGAAAGGCTTACTGAAACTCAAAGATGCTGAGATGGAGGAAAATCGACAAAAGGCTGAGTTAATGACAATAAACAAAGATTTCTCAACTCCTGTCTCAGGTAACCCATCCCTTAACTTTAATCCATCATTCTCAGCAGTAAATGAGAATTCTTTATTTCAACTAAGTGCTAAGTCAAGCTTCAATAAGAAAAGGCAGACATTCGCAACAGTGTCAGTTACTAATGAATCCACCACATCGTCTGCACCAAAGACAACTTCAAGATTTAAATGTCCAAAGTGCACTGACAGACACTTCCTGAACCAGTGTCAAGCCTTCAGATCTTTGTCTGTTCAAGAGCGTTTGGCCTTTGTTCAGCGAAAGCAACTCTGCCTGAACTGCTTTATGAAGGGTCATCACAGCACAATCTGTTCTCGCAGCTGGGTATGCAAGGTGCCTGGATGCGGGAAAAAGCACAACAGTTGGCTACACTCTGCCATCATAGCTTCTAACAACGAAAAAAGCCAATCTACTAATCAAGCTACTGAAGATGAGCCAGCTGTCGACCCGCCACAAACCATTCAAGCACATGCCACCAGAAAATGCATTGAAGTTAGTCAAAAGAAGATCGCACTTCCCATTCTGCCTGTAGTGGTTTCAGACAGACACAAACGATCCTCTATGAATGTTTTTGCTTTGCTTGACAGTGGCTCCAATGGTACCTTTGCTTCTAAGAAGCTAGTTCATGCTCTTAAAGATGTCAAGTTAGTGGACAAGCCTGTAACAAAGAGAGGAGTATTGAGCACTACCAGGTCCATCTATGATCCTTTAGGATTTGCAAGCCCTTTTGTGCTCAAAGCTAAAGCAATCTTTCAAGAGTTGTGCCGCATGAAAGTCGACTGGGACGAGGAGTTACCAGTGGACGTAGCATCACAATGGCACAGATGGTTGAACGACTTGCCTCTATTGTCAGCACTGACAATTCCAAGATGCCTTAGACCAACATCCACTAGTTGTTTGTTACCGACCCAGCTCCATCACTTTTCCGATGTTTCAGAACTGGCTTACGGTGCTGTTTCATATATCAGGATTGGCGACACCAGCAGGCTGGTGATGTCAAAGGCAAGACTTGCTCCAATCAAGCCAGTTAGCATACCAAGACTGGAGCTACTAGCAGCAGTTGTTGCTACGGAGCTGGATCAGCATATCAAGCGACACTTAGAGATTCCAATTGAAAGGACTTTCTTTTGGACGGACAGTACAATTGTACTTCAGTACATTAAAAACAAGCATTGTCGTTTCCAGACATTTGTCGCCAACCGTATATGAAAAATACATGTGCTTCGGAACTGGCTTACGGGGCTGTTTCATATATCAGGATTGGTGACACCAGCAGGCTGGTGATGTCAAAGGCAAGACTTGCTCCAATCAAGCCAGTTAGCATACCAAGACTGGAGCTACTAGCAGCAGTTGTTGCTACGGAGCTGGATCAGCATATCAAGCAACACTTAGAGATTCCAATTGAAAGGACTTTCTTTTGGACGGACAGTACTATTGTACTTCAGTACATTAAAAACAAGCATTGTCGTTTCCAGACATTTGTTGCCAACCGTATATCAAAAATACATGAATGCTCAGAATCATGCCAGTGGAGACATATTGATTCTGCCTCTAACCCAGCGGATGACGTTTCTCGAGGGATGACTATGAGAGAGCTTTTGGCAAGTGAACGATGGGTATCTGGTCCACACTTTCTTAGACACGATGAGGAACATTGGCCTGCTCAACCTATTATAAATGACTTGCCGGACGAAGCAGAGATCAAACGAGGCAAAGAAGTCTATGCAGCTACCATAACACCAAACCATGCAATGAATAATGCAGTGGACAGACTACTGGAACGATACTCCAGTTGGCAACATTTGAAAAGAACTACTGCTATCTTGTTGCGTCTCAAGGCTTTGTTATGCAAGAAAGTAAGTGTGAATCTTTCTGACCCCATCACTGTTGGTGAGCTCCAACAAGCAGAGTTAGCAATTTTCAGTTACATACAAGCTGCAACTTTCAGATCTCTCCGAGCCAAAGCCAGTTCTCTTCTCAAACTTAAACCCTTTAGGGATGAAAATGATCAACTCCTTCGTGTCAGAGGCAGACTAATGAATGCCCCAATTCCTTACGAGGCGAAACATCCAGTGATCCTACCTAACAATCATCACGTCACCCAGCTGATTATTCGTCACTACCATCTTCGTTTGGGTCATGCAGGTCCAGAACGAGTTCTTACAGAAATTAGTCAACGTTTCTGGATTTTAAAGAGACGTGCTGTCATTACCCAAACTCGCAAGTCATGCCTACAGTGTCGCAAGTTAAGAGCTAACCCGCAAGCCCAGCAAATGGCAGC